AGCACAGTTACATGTACCTGGGAATACCACAAGCAAATGGCAACCTCGATGAGGTTTATGAGTAAGAATTTAATGGAGGCTGGTATCCCACCTGATATATAGTTTTATACATTTTCTTTTCATATGTTTATTATTGCTTTTCTTCTTTGCATATTATGGCTTACAATGATTACAAATACTGGATAGGAATGACCTGGTGCTAAGGGGTGAGGGGGGCCAATCAGATGCCAGGGGGGACACTGGCCCCCCTGGCCCCCCCTGAAGCTCCTTAATAACAGTTCCACAACAGTTGTGTTGCTAGGTACTATAATCTCATTTCGGCATCATGGCTACTGAAAGCTGCAAGGGAGTGTTGGCTGTGCCTCTAGGAAACGCACTTATCTCCATCCAGTGCATCAGAGACCAAGTCAGAGGTAAATATGACAAGTTATTTATTGGGGAGGGATTGAAAAAAAGAAAAACATTGCATGCTAATTTCCAGCGAGCATTTAAAACAGCATAGGGTATCTCTTAAAATCCGTTTTCCTGATGTTTCTTTACTTGTCTCGTATATCCACGTCAAATGTTTTTATTTTCTCCAACGATGTTGTTTTCATATTTTATAGCTCAAATTTTAGCAGAACATACAAAAACGTATATTGAATCTCATTGTCATGATTAACTGCCTTTCATTTTAAACAAAAACAATATGCATTTTTGGTTTTGCAGTTTTAAGTTATGTAAATTAAAAACATTTATCTGCCTTCTGTTTAAATTACTATCATAAAGCCGAGATTAATTTCCAATTCGGGGAAATAACTAAAGGTCAAGTCCAACTAATTTTTCACTACCTTGAGCATCTGTTATCTGCTCCAGTTTAAAAATTGCAACTACTTAGGCTCTTTAAACCTGGACTAGATTATTATATACTGATAGCAGAATATTTAAAACCCAGTTTGTGATTTGCAAAATCTTTATTTGATTTGTGAAAGTTCAATAAAGTAGATTTTAACACTGTTTTTGCATTTCATTGCACTGTATGTTTTAAGCTACAGCAAATTAAAGACACTCAAGGTAGCATTTCCTAAATGACAATCTACAATCATCAGCCAAATTCATTGTTGTATTACTGTTATAGATATTTGTGGAGATTGCATTGTAGAACAGACAATGCTGTTTACATCAAGTGTGCCAAACAGCTTCTAAAAATCCTGAGTACTTTGAAAAACAACAACTAAACAGATCAAAATACTTTGATTTAAATACAAACTATTTTNATTTNTAAATCAAAATCAAAATTAGTAAAGTATTTTTAGTGAAAGTATTTTTATATCAAAGTGTTTTTAAATCAAGGACCATTTTTTACTGACAAAAAGTCTTCATCAGTAAAAATTTGTAGCTGCTGAGTTTGCTGGTAAATAGAAGTATTAGATTGGTGAATATGTAAAATATCAAAAACAATTTAACTCATATAGGTAGGCCTGTCTCTGCTTCTATTTATTATGTGTCAGATGGTTACCTAATCCATGACGTAATAAAAGGTTTTATAATATATAATCCAGCTAAAGAGTGTTTTCTGTACTTTTTCCTTTAGATGGAGAATCAGGTGATCACGGTGGAGCATTCGATCTCTCCATGTTCTGGAACACTTTGAGTTGAGTTTTCTTATCAAATCTACATTTTCTAGACCCCATGTAGCTTAAAGTGACCTCCCTTTTTTGTCACAGACCCTTTTTGCGCAATAAAATGAGATACACCAGTGCCGGTTGTTTCAGAATAGTGCTCATTTACGACATTTTATCATCACACATTACAATAAAGCATTACTTGACTTTTACATATAAATGTAATTTCAAATCTATTGAATATTTTGAAAATGTTTTCAAACTTTTCTTCCATTTTCCTCAGACCAGGGAGTGAAGGCGGTGTCAATGGCTGCAACGCTGGTTAGCATGGGCTCCTCAAAACCCCCTCAGCCATCTTTACAAGTCAGTTTGCCATTTTCAACACAAATAATCATATCTGTACACAAAATTCTGCTTATTCATTCAGGCATCATCTAAAAGCATCTAAGGGTGCGTTCACACTGCAGCCTGATGTGACTCAATTCCGATTTTTTTGCCGGGGCCGTTCACACTGCCAGTAAATGCGACCTGTATGCGTTCTGCAGTATAAACGGGCAAACGACCTGAAAGTGTCCCGCATGCGCAGTAGAGGGCGCAATAGCGTCAGCGCCAACTGCCATAAAAAGAAGAAGTGCTCAGTGTTTGCGGAAGTAAACATGGAGGCTAACGGTGGAGCTTAGCTTACACATTTGAAGTTGTTGTCCGGCCGGAGCAGCATATTAACAACTTAATCCTCATATAATCCGTCATGGTTGTTGTTTTTCTTCCCACTTGCCCGTATCAGGACGAGAATAGTGAGATTTATTGAGAATCAGTGACGTTCAGTTCGGATGAATGCGACCTGGACGTGAGGTCGCATTTGAATCGGATACGTATCGGATATGGGTCACATTCGGAAAAGAATCCGACCTGTGCTGTTCACACTGCCATGAAAAGATCGGATACAGGTCGCATTATGTCAAAAAAATCGGAATTGAGTCACTTCAGGCTGCAGTGTGAACGCACCCTAATTGTTCTAAGTTGTTTCTTTTAGGAATTCTGTTGATTTTCTCCATGTTAAATGAACTGTCATGTAAACATGTTATTGTGTCCTAAAATCAAACTTGCAGGTGTTGCAGGATGAAGAAAAGCTGTTAGTGTCTGTACTAAACAGCACACTGACTCTAAGTGAAGTTTACTCCTGCCTACCTGAAAGCCAAGGTGACTCTTAAACTGCATATAGTTTAATTTTTATTAGCAAAACAAAGTAGATCTGAGTTACAAAAGAGCAGAGGTGAGTAGTAACTAGATACATTTACTCAATTACATTTATTTGAGTAACCTTTTTGGAAAAAATGTACTTTTAGAAGTATTTTTTTAATAAGCTGTATTTGAGTAATTTTATTATAAAGTATCTCTTCTCTTATTTGAGTAAAATTTCTAGATTTTCTATCTACTGAATGAAAAATAAAACCATGTTTTAATCAAAAATTCACTAAACACAGACACACACTTGCAGTATTTGTTCAAGTTTTATATGGTTTTTATTGAAACAAATTGATTTGGAAAAATGTTCTTATGCCTGATTTGATTTCTTTTGTTACTTATATGAATTATTGTCATTTTTGTACCTAAAATACCAACATTTTAACTTAACTTTATGTTTTGGTTCATCTGAATATGTCATTTTTAAATATGAAATTATTGATAATGCGATCAGTTGATCAGTACCTGAGTAGACTTTTTACCAAATACGTTTTTATTATTATTTGAGTCATTTCTTGGACAGCTGCTTTCTACTTGAGTAAAAATATGCTGAAACAGTGCTACTCTTACCTGATTACATTTCTTTGTTCTCTGCCTACCTCTGCTAAAGAGTGATTAATATTTGCGCCTGCTCTTTAAGTCTGGCTGAGTATTTCAGTCCTGTCTGTGCCTCAGGGGTGACGCTACGGCGACAGGTCAGGGATGCTACTGTGGAGGTCCTGGATGGCGTTTTACAGCT